TTCAAATCTGTACCGCATTTTCCCGCATATAGCCCGCATACGCATATAACCCGCATACGCATATAACCCGCAAAAATAGTGTTTTGTGTAAAACAAATTTCAGATAGCCTGCACCTCCATATACCCCACATGCATTCAAATCTTTAACGTCGTTACCGCAGCTTAATCCCATCATATTAATACAAAGTTTACATTTGTAATACAGTCCACTATCAATTGTTAACATTAAAATCAGAACGTGCACAAAGAAAACAAACTAACTGGAAACGAGTGAACTTAAAGCAGTAAATAAGTAACAAAAGTAAATATCCAATAAATAAGTAACACGTAACTGGTGGATAAGTAAGTAAGCATACCGTTAGGCTTACCAGCATTCGACCTCATCATATTACAGCTACTGGACCGGTAGTTACCCCTGTACAGTTTTAGCACTGGTAGATTGCGCACTGCGCAGACAATCGTGGCACTACGGTAACGTCATTGCCTCCTGGAAACAAAGCCATTGGAAGTTTGAAACAAAGCTCATGGTCGCAATTGTATAGTGCTCAGCCAATAGCAGCGGCCTAAGGGACTCAGCAATTATGATTCCGCGTCTGATAGACGCTTGTTCAGGCCCTTCCCATTGTGCAATTCATCACCTCAGCTGCAACTTTCGCACCCCCCTACAGCCACTGAAAGTATTACGGTAAACAAAGTGCGCCCACTTCAAACAATGTCGTTTCATTGTACAAACAATTCGAATAATTTAACACGTGATAACATGTGCAATTTTAGTGCGAGTGGTTTATTCAGCAGTGCTTTAGTCAAAGGTAAGTGTTGCATAGTGGATAGGCCTACCACGACAAAAATCAAGACGCAAACATTTGTAAAAACCACACGGCCATTTGTGCATTATGCAAAAACCCTCAGCAAATCCTAAAGTGCATTGTGGTCCTCATCTGAGATCTCCATTAATGTTAATGCACCTCCACAGTAAACATTTACGGCTTTTGCATATGCACAAATGGCTGTGTGCTGTTTACGTATTTTAGCGTCTTGATTGACACCTATTATTGTTTATTCTTGCTAATATTACCACTGGCAAAGATACCATTCAGTTAAATTTTTAGTGGTACAAATGAACTCCACAATGTCTATGAAAACATAAAAGCATAAAATACAAGGGTATTTTATGCTTTTAGCCCTATATTGGCTGAGGCATTTTGGCCATATGCTTTTGATATTATAGTAATCAATTCATTATAATGAACTACAGTGCAAATACGGAACACACACTGTCTGCATGGAATGTACACCTTTGGCTAAGTGCAGAGTAATCATTTTATACGCACATCTCTTCTGCACACAAACTTCACAAGTCCTCATTATACCAGCCTCGGTATTCCGATGTGATCTGGTTTGTGAAACAAGGGCCTACAAACATATTAAAAGGAAAAAAAACAAATTCTCCCAAACAACCTTTCCGAATGTAACTGCTTGAGACGGTAAATAGTTATAGTGAAGCTTGGACCCGAACTGAAGGAGTCAAGGTGGCCTGGGAACAGAGAGTGTACCCTGCATGTTTCAAACACACTTTTTGCGATAAAATCGACATGGATGCCAAAGCTGACTGTGGATAAGGCCACCTTTCCAAACGCATCGGCAAGTGTGAAAGCAGGAATATAATGAGCGTGGGCGTATGTTCTGAGCAACAGCAGAATAGCGATTAGCGCTACACTCCGTAGCAAGTAAACAGACCGAGGCTAGATTCCTCGGCATACAAACTAATAACTGCAATCTAAACCACCTTGGACTGAGGCTTTGCTTCAGTTTACACAGCCTAAACCGTGTGCCAAAAACAATAACAGGATGTCAAAGGTGACTGGGGAGGACAAGCTGCTGGTTACAATGCCACGTCACATGTGCCAAACAGGCCTTAATAGGTGCTCACCAACAAAATACTTGCCTCAGCTGCCAGCTTAGGCTAAAAACGGGCCATCATTGTGTTTGTGTGTGCAGTGAAAATCACAGGGGCTCTGTTTGCATAAGAGAATTGCCGTGTGTTTGCACGAGCTGTTTGCCCATTCGTTCCTTCTGCCAAGACTCTGCGCATCAGAGTACAACTGAGATAGGTTTTTTCCTCTCGTTTCCTTATTCGCATGTGGCTTGTCCTGCACCACACCTACTTAACATTCCCAAAAGAGCAAACAGGGGCAAGAGGCCAGGGTAACTCTTTTTCCCTACATTTATGAATCAAAGTCAGGAAGGCCAGTCGGGTAAGCATTTGCAACACGGCAGCGCTTCCGAAAACTATTTCAGAAGATAACATGTAAATATAGCAATGTATCCATAAGAGGTTTTTTTGGGGGGTTAGATCGCGTAAATATAAATGTGTCGCTAAACCCGCCACCACGGGACACAGCCAATTAGCAAGGTTCCTCACGTAAACTAAACATGCCAAATCGCTATTACTTCAGCATATCAATGCACTTCACAGGTCTAAATTCAATCAATTACATTTCGTTTCAAGGCACACGTTTGTCAGTGACAAACAGCAAATAATAATGATAATGATGAACTGGGTTACCGTCCAGCGTTTGTACAAAACCCCACCCCTTTCCATTTCACATCACTGTCACTGGCGACTGCTGCCTTAAGCCCCCGGGACTTTCGCAAGGATAAGCCTGCTTATTACGTGACATTTTCTACATGCCATCGCAAGATTTAGACTTGCATGCTTATTCACCCCCACCCCCCTACGGACCATTCCCAAAATGTGCTGGTGGAGCATTGTTGGTGCAGCTCATTAACTATAGCCATGGGTACAGATATGAGATAAAAATGTGTGTAATGAGTCTTCTTCTATTCGTGTGTGTGGCCAATAATGAGCAACGATTATAAATTCAGTTTTAAGTTAATTAGTCATTCAATTGCTTTGCCTTGAGAGTTGGTGCATCACAGACACACCAACCGCTTTCAAATTTATATTTGGGGCTGTACGAAGTTGCATGGTCCATTGTTTGGGAGTTGTCTTCCACCACAACCTCGCTTCCACTGTGAACTCAACCTCGTTATGAACAGCATAGCCATTCGGTGTCCCATGCTGCTCCGAGTAAGAGTGACCAATTGTGTGCCAGTGTTTGGAACACAGCCAACTTTTAATAAATGCTTGCAAAGGTCTGATGCTTCACTGCTACACCACGCTATGGGGTTACTTTGGGCCAAACTGCCACAAGGCAATAATCAGCACATCACACACAGCAGTGTTTCTTAACTCCAGTCCTCACCATCCATGCCCGCCTTTTCGCAATTGCCAATCATTTTCTATTCATATGCAAAGTAATTCATAGCACACCGCATGTACGTGATGGATGGTATCCATGGAATGTTGCACACCTTGGGGTTCACCGGTTGATAATACTGATAAATATAGTAATATACGCTACGGGCAAACCCTGCGATTACTGATGCATGGGAGGGTCTACCCAAGTGTTTACGAGTACGGTCAATTATAACGAAAAGGCATTAAGCTATAAATGCGGAATTAAATGACCGCATGAAGAACTTTTATGAAACATACTCTTTGGTTCTTTCGGTAAAGTCACGTAGGTGAAAATAAAAATGAGAATAAAAAGAAAAAATAGAAATAAATAAATTAAATCACGACGTTTCGGAAACAACACAAGCTTCCGTCATCAGGTGGGACAACCACAGCAAAAAACAAAATTACTGCTGTGATTGTCCCACCTGATGACGGAAGCTTGTGTTGCTTCCGAAACGTCGTGATTTAATTTAGTTATTTCATTTTTTTTTCTTATTCTTATTTTTCACCTACGTGACTCTACCGAAAAAACCAAAGAGTATGGATCCTTGCAGTCACGAAAACTTCAAATCTAGAATTTTATGAAACAATTATTTAAATTCCCCATATGAAGCCCTTTACAAATGAAGGGGTCACAAGGCAGGGGCTAAGAATATGCGAACTGCACGCTACGCTAACGAACAGTTTCTGGTATTTGAGCACAACAACCGCAGTTTATATTTAATAATAACAAGACAATACTTTCATCACCAGTGGGATTGAGAGCCATTGATCACTGCCTAAGCAGGATAATTAGTGGGGGCATTGAAAACATTCAAAACTCTATTTTAAAAAGGCGACCTAAAAATTAACTGCTCACGGGCAAATTTTGAGCCAGCCAGTTTGACTGGCTTGTTGTAAAGATTGTAGGCATTTCAAGATTCCTACAATAGTTCATTACAAATTAGCATGCGGCTGAAACACATTCAAGCAGATGTTACAACAAAATCAATTCAATCAAGAAAGTCAATGACCCTTGCCAAGAACCATTGCGGAAGCAATCTGCGTACAGAGTGAGAAGAGTACTATTCCATAAATACATAATGTGACGCATTAAAACGAGAGGTCAACAACGTGGTCAACACTAAGAGCGTCCCAGGACACAGTGGCACACGCCGTGCACGCATAGCCAAACGCTCAGGGTAAAAGCCCTCCTTCACATAGACACAACCTGGTCACGCGACAAATGCGTGGATTACACTCACACTTAAATAAACTTACCATGCCAAATAAATATACGAGAGAGAGACAGGCTACCGACCATCCCAGTAAAGGCCATTGCATGCCGGGGCAACCAAGCATTGGCGGATTGGCGGTCACGGTTGGCTGCCGTGACACTTTTAAAGACCGGCTGGTCCCAAGGCATCTGCGTTTAAAGAAAAGAAAATCCCCAAAAAGGCTGGATAAAGTTACCAACAAAAAAAAGAGAGCTCGATTTGCCTTCATGGGACCTGCAGTCGCTCGCTTCCTCGCTCTCTCGCTCAGAAAGTCGCACGCCTAACGAATCCATATGCGCACTGCGTGGACACCTTACACAGTGAACGCAGAGGAGACACAAAGGTGGCGGGGTGGGGGGGGGGTGCCTTGGTTTGGGTCGGGAACTTTACATAGCAGAAGACTGCTTGCTACCCGCCGTGCCTGCCCGAGCACAAACACTCACTGTTGCTGGACTTGAGGTCGCGGTGGATGATGGAGACAATGGCCTCGTCGTGCAGGTAGAGCATGCCGCGAGCGATCTGCACCGCCCAGTCGACGAGGATGTGCGGCGGGATGCGCCGCCCTGCCAGAGCACGGTTCAGCGGCCCGCCGCGCGCGTACTCCATGATCAGGCACAAGTTGGGCTCCTGCGGGTCCCCACACACACAGAGTGCCACCAAACTATGTTAACTTTTCGATTTAAAGCTTTCGTGACTGCAGGGATTTATCTTCTTGGTTCTTTCGGTAAAGTCACGTAGAATGGAAATAATAAAATAATAAAAACAAAACAAATAATTTTTATTATTTTATTATTTCCATTCTACGTGACTTTACCGAAAGAACCAAGAAGATATGTTAACTTTTGTTTTATTATTTAAAGGAAGTAGAGTAAAACATGAGCTTATGAGTGAAATTAGGTACAGGTGAAGACGGAGATAGGTACGGGGCCTTCATTTAACAAATATTGTTTGATAATGGTCATGATGGTGGCAATGATGATGGTGGTGGTGGCGATGATGATGCTAATGATGAGGGTGGTAGTGGTTGTGATGGTGATATTAATGATGGCAACGATAATGACAGTGCGATGATGATGACTTTGGTTGATAGTTGTGGATGTGATGAAGACAATGAGGTGATGACAATCATGATGATGGCAAAGACAGTGATGTTTTTACATGGTGGCGGTGCTGACGATGATAATGTAATGATAACGACACCAACGCTATTGGTAGTGAGGGTGGTGGTGATGACAATGATTGGCAGTTAGTACGGTTGGCTACGTACAGTGCAAAATAAGTTCAACATACATACATAAAATTAACTTGATTATGATACTGTGGCAACAATGACGATGATGATAATGCTGCAAGCTTGTAGTGACGGTGGTGGCAAGGCTACGGCAGGGACAGGACATGCCTGCAGGCAGACCCCGCGCAGCGCGATGATGTTGTCATGCCGCAGCATGGAGAAGAGTTTTGCCTCCTGCCGCACACTCTCGGCCGTGGCGCTGATTTCCTCGTCTGGGTCTTGCCGCGCTGCCTTCACTGCCACCTCCTCCTCCTGCCAGAGGCCTCGGTAAACCTGGCACAGGGGGAATCGCATGCAATGTCAGGAGATGCTGCCCAATTCCCAAGCTGCCCGCTCAAGACTACTGGAAATATCTGGCTGGCTTAGATCAACGGTTTCCAAACTGTCTCTGGGCCCGCCGACCATTGACAAGTGCTTAAAAATATTTTGTGGACAACCATGCGGTAGAAAATATGGTATTTTGTGATAATTGCAACAGTTTTGTGGACCACTTCCCATAGCCTTGCAAACCACCAGTGGTCAGCAGACCCCAGGTTGATAATTATTAGCTTCGCTGATATTAATTGACCATACTTTAACATGCTGCTCAGTGCGGTTGGTAAAAGCTGAGAGAATACCGGTGTGGGAGCATGGTAGCACCATACAAATATGTACTTTGCTGAACAAGGCCTCTGCTGCCCAGCACACAATCCTATAGCTTGTAATATCTGTTTTGCATGGTGGTCACCAATCTAAAAAACCTTGCTTAGCTTCCAAGATCTGCTGATATTGAACACATTCCAGGTGATTTGATCACAGGCATAATATATATGTAAACAAAATGACATAATTCACATTTAAGTAATTAAGCACAAAAAGTGCAAACAAAACATCTTAAATAAGAAAACATTCGAATAACATTATGTGATTTCCTATTGCTTACACAGACAACGTGATAGCAGTTCTGTCGACTGCTGCTCCGGTGAGCAGAGACAAAACTTTGATCTTCCCATGGTAGGGGCCAGTATTCCTGGGAACCACGATTGTTTACTTTTCACGTAAAAATAATCATTTTACTCGAACCCAGAAGGATAACGTGCCTACCCCTGATGTGGCTTTAACTGATAAACTTCGTCCAGTAAAAGAGCAAGGTTGCAGGAATTAATATTTGTATATGCTTGGCACCCAATGATTTATCAACTCAACCAAGATTCTTACAATCACGATACATGCACTGCATCGTGCGTTCAAGTTTCAATTATTAACAATTTGTGCGAATTATATTCTGATGTTACGTTTAAGGGCTGAAGGACCGAACGAGACAGTGTGTGCACAACACGAGAGAGAGAAAGAGAATGAGAAACAATATCTAACGAGAAATTAAAAACAAAAAAAGTAATTGCCGACATGCGGGCACGCCCGTTAAACCGCGACCCGCACACACTGAACATTCCTGGCTGTTGTGGCAATAAAGCAAGGGAGGACGGGCCAGCTTACTCATTAAGACATTTCAGGGAAGGCTGGCAGCTCTAAAAATAGCATAATCACTTTACAGTACTGAGGGCGCCTCCTCCTCCTCTTTCAATGCGGGCGACAAAAGAAATGCCCAGAAAGGAGCCCTTTTTCCAAAGGTCGTGCAAAACCATGTCCTGTACGGCACATCAGTATACTCTCCCCGTCGGCTTCTGCGATCTTCCTCCCACGTGTATAACCTCATGCCTGCCCCTCTTTTTGGTCTCTGCTGCATTTGCCGACCACAGTGTATTAGTTAGGGTCATTACGAACGGCCCGTATTGCCTCTCGCGTGCACGCACACACGGCACAGTGAAAAGATTATCCGTTTTTGACGCATGCAGATGGGTCGTAAACCGAACTGCTTTGGAGTGCCACATCTAAGTCATTTTTTTTTTGCAAGCAGTCATTGAGGTAATCATGAAATTCAGGTTGACTGTCAAAGGTCATCAAGAGTCAATTGCATAACAATAATTTAAATAATACAGATATTAATTGTTTACATGAGGCTTCAATGGAGTCAAGAGTGAGGCTCCTGCATTGGGATGTTTGACCAAATAAATTTACATTCATGTTTAGAACATGGGAGAAGATGCAATACTCACAAGTTCTTCGACGATTAGTTCAAGAACCCACACTTTCGAGGAGATAATACTGAAAGCTCCACATAGATAAATACAAAATGCCATTGCCATATTTCCATCTCCTGGCTACCTCGCAGCCCATGCATACAACATCTGGTATATCCACAGGAAGTCTCCAATCCAAGTACTAACCCAGGCTGAAATCCCTACTTAGCTTCTGAGAGTCAAAGAGATCGAGCACATGCGGGGCCATTTGGTCACTGCTAACCACCAGTGCATCCCTCCTCCTCCTTCTCGCAGTCGTTGTGTGAAGGTGACACTAGACCTCCTAGGATCACTATTACATCGTCCCACACCATGTGGCTTTAGGGCTTTTCGTTGGCCACCAACCTCAGGGTGCCACCCCATCATCTGCTTCAATAGCATGGCCTCCTAGTACAGTGGGTTCTGCTATGACGTGTTGTCACAACGAGAATTGGATGTAACGCGATTCGAGTGAAGAGAACTACGTTGCACGAGTAGGAATAAGCCGTTGTACGGCTGCCTCGGGGCAACATCACACACGGCGGGATGCTGATGGATGCTTCTAGATGCTACCCACGCGCTTCAGTCTTTGTTCAGCCTGCATACAAATCTCACGTGTTATCGTGGACTGTGCTTCACCCTATATTATATATTATTTCTTATATTATAACGTTGTGTTCTTCAGGAATGCAACAACCGCGTTAACGGAGAACAGGCTGTACTGCTATGTAAATGTTTGTGGTTGTGCTGTTAGTTTTCCGATGTGTTTTCGGGTTCTATCGCAATTGTTGTTCCGAATGAAAGTCTCCACGTGCCGGGCGTTTCGTTAGCAACATTTTCCTTCCAGCACACGGCAGAAAAATCACCTCCTGTAAAAGCTCCCGGCACGTGGAGCGAGATATCATACATCATGGCAACAGTCACACTACTGCTGCTGTGTGTTGTGGCTCGTCTCTAATTTTCCATTCGTGAACACGTGCATGTTAAATAAGTGCTGCAAATGAATGGTTACAATGATGCAGAAATCAACAGGGCATTGAATGCCAAAACCAAATCAAGTAACACAAGCATTGAAACTGCCCAAGCAATTAAAACGATAATTGCAGGAGTAACTGATAAATTAGGCAGATTGTACCTGATGATGGTTACTTGTGTTGCAATTGAAACGTCGTATTCAATTATTATTTTATTTAATCTCTTTCTACGTGACTTTACAGAAAGAACCAAAGAGTCGCCAGATGGTTGGAAAAACAAAACATCCAAGTCAGATTTGGCACGGTACATAATATACAGAATTTAATATCTGCTACAAAAGATGTATTACCGAAACTGTCAACAGAAGGTGTGCAGGATTAACTGCACGTGTGGTAAATGTTATGTTCGGCAAACAGGACGAATGATCAGCACGAGACGAAAAGAACAGAGAAATATAAAATTCTCCAAAATGCAACTGTCAGCAGTAGCAGAACAAGCGTGCCAACAAGGACACTCAATTGATTTTGATGTTAAAGTTGTGTGCCAAACTAGCTACTACTGGCCAAGACTAATTAGAGAATCTATCGAAATTGAAAGAAATCAAAATAACTTTAATGTTCTTATAGCTACTAGTGTTGCGTGGAAGTGAATCATCACATAATACATCATTTAAATGCATGCCTACAAAGGGCAGCGTACTTTAATTGGGATTACCATTGGTAGGGCTATTTTAATAACACAATAGACAGGAAGGACAAGTTCAAAGGGCTCGCAGAATGCACATGCATAATATACGTTGCTTTAGTAACCCCCCCCCCCCCCCACATTGTGCAAGAGCGCAGAAGGGTGGTTAACACATCTCAAACTCTATATAAGGAACGAAACAGTAAGACTTCTCCACTAATCTGGCTGTCGCCTGATGAAGCTAGTTGCAATTACTGGAGAAACGTTGTGCTCAGTTTGTAAATGTTGTGGGTTGGCTCTCCAACAGACCGGTTAGTGCTGTACTAGTGACGAATTGGCATGTTCTGTTTATGTGACAACCCTTACTAGTTGGCTGTGTCGGGTGGTGGCGGGTTTTAACGACACATTTATATATTTACGCGATCGAACCCAAAAACCTCTATTATGGATGATATTGGTCACCAAAGCGAGCGTTTTGCACTTTAATCCAAAGCACCAGTTGGAACTGTGGTGTGCACTGTGTGCCAGTATGTGCTAAAAAACAACAGATTGGAAAGTGTCAAAATGGGTAGAGAGCGTCCGTAGTCCTGCCGTAACAAGTGAGTGATTACGGAAAAGTATTCAGAAGTAAATAATGCCACATCCCTACAGGGAGGTGCGCACGATGGGTGCTGTAACTCTTGGGCTCAGCCTCACTGCAGTGACAAGACGGAAGGGACTTGGTAGTCACTTTTCATCATATCCCCGCTAACAAATGCTTTGTTCACCCGGCAGCTGTGATGAGTTTTGGCGAATGGTAATCAATGCCAGCGGAATACACAGCGGCATTGAATTACAAGGTTACTCAGCAGAGAAGTCACCGTTCAAATCGACGCCACCATTGTCAAGTGCTGTCCTGTGGCAGTTTGACCCAAAGATATCACCGAAATAAAAGCTTGGCGCCTTCTTTTTAAAGCAGGCTCAGTGAAAGATAGAACCGAGGCAAAGGATGATTCACCCTCCCTATGATTCTTCAAAGTGAAGTTCTATTAATTTCTCTCTCATTTGTAGTCTGCCTTGTCCGTTTGTTCTTCATTACTCACTACATACTTGCTAAACACATATATGAAATATGCAAAAATCCCCAACAGAATCCTCCCACGCAGTTATGTGCATGGATTGTGAATGTACATATTGATTTTAACTGATCAATCCACGAATCATCACCAGCTTATAAGCTACACCTGTTCGAATTGCACATCCGATGAGCGCGGTTGGCTACATACGGTGCGAAAGAAGTTGAAAATAGATACATACAAACGTCCTTCGATTCAGGCGTACGGCTGGAACAAAGTGCCTGACACTTGCAAAAAAAAAGTTCTATTGTTTTTTTACCCGAACAAATGTTGCACGTTACATATGTGGGCCAATTCAAAACAAGTACAATTTTGGGTTAACCGTCACTGGCTCGAGACATGAGTTATATTGATGGAGCCGTGACAGGGAGTGCCATTTTTAGGAGAGACATGTGTACCTTCGGCAATGCCTGTACAGATAGTACCCGAGTTACGATGCTCCGACTTACGATATTTCGATCTTACGATAGCGATAGCGATACGACAAAATTGTAAAATATTTTACATTTCGCGCGGCAGGCAAACGCAGCAGCGTACGAGGTACGATACTGTACGTTGGGACGCTGCCGGGATGTACGCATCTCCCGCCTTGTGTGGTGATGCCTCACTCTCACCAGCGGTCGACGGAGTTAAGTTGTCTCAGTGTTAGCAATACAGTATTGTAATTAATAAATACATACAGTATATAGTTTATATAGTATGGTACTGTAAATTGCTCTTTTTTGCTAAATTATCACCATTCTTTAAGACTCCTGGGTAGAGGCTAGGCCATCTTCGACTTACAATATTTTTGACTTACGATGGGGGCGTCGTAACGCATCTCCATCGTAAGTAGAGGACTACCTGTATTATAAATGTAAACAATTATCCATAAAGGACTCTTTAAAAAGATGACTCCGTTTTAGATGAAGATATATTCACCTCCAATCTCACTGTCTCATTTGAATTAGATCTCGTTTATTGAATCACGTCTGTAGAGCATCGTTCACTTCATTAGCCTAAATGTAACATAAAGAATAGATGGCATATAATCTGCATATCGCGTTAATTACACATCCAAACACTCACAATTTGATACATGTAATATGAACATAAGTATCATCGTTAATCAATCCATCATTACACAATTGATGCCTATGAAACTACAACTATTCGGCACTCCCTTGAAAAAGTATAATCACTCTCACCGAGCTTTCGCCAGGTTAAAGCAGTGACCCACAATCTCTAATGGGCTGAGTTCTACTCGTGTACACCAAGGTTTCGAGGAACCTAAAACTAAGCTAAACGATTTTTATTTTACCAGGTAAGGCCCACGGAGTTACATAGCTCTTTTTCAGAAGCAACCTGACCACAAATGATAGCCCAATAAAGTCGCTTATCATGTGGAAATTAAAAGCAGGCAAATATTCTAAACGGACGTTGTTTCTAAATGTGAAGGGAAAACTGAAGGACCCGGAGAAAAATCCACACGACCACCGTGAGAACATGGAAACCCAAAATATTCAAACGTCAGGGTCAGGAATCGAACCCAAGAATCCCGACATACCAGACAAGGAAGTTAAAATCACGCCACCATGACTCCTTGTCCAAGTCCCCTTGAGACTCCCCAGTAAAGCCCATCACAGCAAACAGTGCGGTATGAAAACATGCCCATAGCACTGTGATTTAGGAACAGAGTTGGTGGATGACTAATTGATCATTTATATGGGCACGGAGGAGTCTGCAGGTAGCAGTGCATCAAAAGCAGGTTACTCGTCTAAGTAGAAAGAGTTTGAACATTCTTCATTCATATCAGTCAAAAGTCCCCATCAGGACCCTCCTGAAAATAACCTTGAGATTCAGTGACACTCTTCGGCCAAACATCCAAGTGTAACTGAATAGTTATTGATGGTTGTGTCTTCCTTTCAGGTATTTGATGCGACAAGCAACCGATGGAAATCCTCCTCCTCCTCCATGCTTTAATGTATCAGTGCCACTTTGCAGACCCCTCCAAATAACACCTGCAGACTCCTGATTGAGCAGCCGAAAACCTCAAATTTGTCTGTGCATCTAATTTAAGGCAAAGCCATTGCCAACGTCACCATTACCAACACTGGAGAAAATTGCCAAAAACTAAGTTTTTGGTCATTTGGTCAAGATTACAATCTGACCCAGTGAGTACAATTGTGGTGCAGAGGAGCAGATGCCGTGCAGAAATGAGGAACACGAACTGGTTTCCAGTGATCACAAGGCTGGATCGGGTAAAAAACCGAAGATGTGAGCAAAAAGATAAGAGCGGTGGTAACCATTGCGGACAGGCTGAAAGCAAAAGGAAAACAGCACCGCGGAAAAAAGGCGATGAAAGTGGAAATATCGGTGGAGATGGAGAGTCAGGCCGAGAGGTGGTTTGTAGTGGTCAACCAGGTTGTGAAGGACTCAAGTGTACACGGAAATGGGCCAGGACAGGAATTAGTGGATAAAGGAAGGCAGACCAAACCCAACACGGGTGAAAGAAGAAATACATCAGAATGAAGGCGTAGTGTGGATACAGGAGGGAGGGAGGCACCTTCCCAAATCCGCCAACGCCAATGATCTCCTCGAGGAGAAGCTGCGTGAAGGGAATCTCCACGGGGGGCACGTAGTCGCAAGGGCTTCGTCCTCTGCAGCCTGTTGAAGCTGGGCTTCCGTGTGACGTAGTTGCTGGGGAAGATGCCAACTCGATCCTCGATCTTTCCCGTCCACCAGCCCTCGTCGCCCGACACCTTCGCATCCTGAAAGTGGCACAGGGCATGGCGTGCGTTTACGTTCAGTGCTTTTCATTTTTAATTTTGCACGAAACAATGTGTTTGTTTGTTTAATTTACGCAAAACAATTTGGTTTAATATAGCTCCTAAATGCAAGCACATTTCATGACATTGTACAGGACGACAGTAAGTATGTATGTTTTAATATAGAAAAAGAGTAATTCAGCCACAGCCAGAGAAAAAGTGAGAGTCTTCACCCTGGAGTTAAACAAGGGCAGGGAGTTCAACAGGTAGGGGAAGGGAGTTCCAGACTATGGGGGCAGCAGGGGAACTAGCAACATTTATAAGAGTATCAGATAAGCAACGTTGACGTTTAGAATATAACTCTTAAAGAAAGCGCAGTGCACGGTAAAACCTCGTCGATTCAAACGGCAACTATTTGGAAATATTTCGAATCACACATTTTACGTTGGATTTTGGTAAAAGCTAATTGTGTGCAGAAATATGAAAGCATAATCATGGGGGGGTGGCAATGGCCCAGTGGTTACCACCATTTGCCATGATCCCAACAACCAGAGTCTAAACTAGTCTTGGGGTCCTCTCTCCTTCACCAGCTTGCAATGACCAGCATGGTAAAGTATGGTCAAGAAACTTAAATTATTGACATATTGCTGGAAGGTCATCATCCCCTTAAGACTGCCAAAGGGCTGTCATTATAATTATCATGATATCTAAAAAATGAGCTGCATCAGCAAATCGTGTCCCCAAGTATTATGATTTTTTTGGGGTTACATAAAGGTACACACATTGTTATTGGCGAATTAGTCATAAATCAGTCATCAATTTGTTATCCATTAATCATGTGTCCATATGGCTGTGTGACATACATTCAACAACGTTACGCAATGATACATTCTCATAAAAAGCTCGTCAACCTCGTATTTGCTCATGCCCCCCCCCCCCTTGCAAGCATTATTCCTAATCGATTAACGAATCAGAAAAAAACGGTTTGTGATGAGTGGGACACACACAGCATAGGCGGACGGTGGGTTTCAGAGACAGCTGTTTCAGTGGCAAGAGGTGGGTGATCGAGGGGGCCAGATAGTGGAATACTACAATACCTTAAGCCCTCTCCCGTTCCAATGACGTATGCGTGCATCATCAGTTTTTTTTCTGATTCCAGTTTGGATTACATATGTTTAGGTCATCGCAATCAAATGGGAATCGTATCGATTCCGAACGGAAGCGGAAGTAAAAGACCATGGGGCAGGGCGTATGGCACAGTTTGCCGGTACCTATTGTAGAGTGTGATAGTGTCACGATAGTTCTCTGCGGTGAGCACAACAGAATGTCTTCAAAAACAGCAGCACTATGCCTCTAAATAGGATGAACACCTAACCACTTGAGCGTTCCGAGATTGAGCGGTGAACGGGACACACCCTGTAACTTGCAGAAGTCTCAGAACGGGAAAGGGTTAAGAAGGAATCTTTGTAGGTCATGTCAACTGTGCATAAGGAACTGATGCTGAGGTGGCATCATCAATTGGCAGCGATAACCTGATAACCTAAGGACTTCATCTTGGCATTGATACTCCAGTTGTGCTATCAGATGTCCTGCAATCAGCAAGCGCATTGTCTTGCATTTGGAAATGGCACTGTATGATGGAAACACACGACTACTTCAATGAAAGAGGTGCTCTGCGTAGTTGCCAAACAATGACAATTATTTTCACTATGCCGAAGATTTTCACCAAAATCACGACCTATGAGGATATGTTGGATATTATTTTAGGAAAATGTGTGAAAATTAACATCCCCGATTGTACTGCTACAGTTGGAAGACACCACTTTACTGCAGGACTCACTTCAACAACAGGCTATTCAACATAATCGTCACCAGCAACGAAGTCACCACAACCTCGAAGGGTAATGTTATTTATCTGTCCAAATAAGTCCTCATGGTCGCCAAACTCTCATTAGAAAGGAAGTTCAGGCCATTTCTTGTTGAATGAGTTTTTCACTTGTGAGAGGAAACAAGTCTACTCCAAAAAAAACAGTGACCACATCCAAAAATGTTCCACACAGATACGTTCATGAATCCACTTGCTGTAATGCAATCTCCTGGCCACCTGACAGCCTACCAGTTTAGGAGATTCACAACTCCACGTGATTTATTAATCCTTGCCTCCAGAGCACTGCATCACAGATGTGCGTCAGCAATTTTCGGACCATGCCTTCAGCGGCACAACCATATCCACAATCAGACATCCGTGTTATTTAAACAACATCTCGCCACGGTGGCAAGATGTTCACAACCTTGCCTGGTATACAGGAGGTCACGGGTTCGATCCCAACTCTGACATCTGTATATTTGAAGTATGCATGTTCTGCCCGTGGTCGCGTGGATTTTTCTCCATGGAGGTTTTTCCTCCACATTTAGAAACATCCGTTAATAGAGTATTTGGCTGCTATAAATTTCCATGTGATAAGCCACTTCGTTGAGTTATCATTTGTGGCCAGGTCGCTTCTGAAATTATAAATAAAGGGGAGCGGTGGCGCAGCGGTTAATGCGCTGCGCTATAGACTCGGCGACTTGAGTTCCGATTCCCAGCTCAGTCTAAAATATTAGTGGCAAGTGATATCTGAACTCATCATACTTCTGCGCCCCTCCACTTCACCAACACGTGACGTATGAACCACGGATAAACATGGTTCGCCACAAGTGACAATAAAATGTCACACACAAACACACCCATTTGTTCTGGATTGATTTAACAAGGAGATCGTTAACGGTGCTGGGGACGAGGCAAGCATCGCTATGCAACCCAATGGCTACATTTTAGTGCCTCGTTTATATTGTTTGTAATTTTTCATCTCATTTACTCCACGAGCCAAAAATGTAAATAGTATATCATGTGCCTATAACTCGCATCCATAGCAAATATTCGATTCTTCCACGCATGCTTTGCGAGCGATTATATTCGTGATTATCGTTCATGCCAACGAGCAGCACGAAGTTTCGATATTGGTTGTGGACCGGAAGGTGGAACTTCGATGGGACATGCAGTCCCTTTGCAGATCAGATTAAAACAGGAGAAAAAACACCGAAAGGTGAAAATGAAAACACACACACGAATCGCACATCTGACGAATGTCAAGAATGTACAACTGCAGAACAAAATGAGCACCACCAAACAAGCCCCCCACCCTGAAATAAAGGTGCAATAAAAGTTCCCAGCAAAAGTTTATATGCACTTGGCGTTTGCTTGTAAATTATTTTAAAAAGTCCTAGTGCCCCCACGCACGACACTGGGCGGTGTCCATCTCTGTAGCTGGCTCTGAGCCACGTGTGGGAATTTCACATTCTCATGGCAGGACCAAGTCTTTTCCTACTTCACACAGCAAATAATAACGCAGCCTCGTCGGAACGCGTGTAAAATATACATCGATATATCTGGCCAAGTTGATTCTTACACTCTTGAATGGTACGTATTACAATCGATTATTTTCGGTGTGTGTGTGTGTGGTATTTATTGCAATTTTTTCGACGTGACCACTGGAGTCACTCGAAGTGCTGCCAACACCACAATGTAACAAAAAGCTATTTTTATTCAACTTACTTTTTTTTGGTCTTTAACCCCCCCCCCCCCCCCCTCAATGTATTCCAATTGTGCTGTCGGCATCACGTCAAGAGGAGCAATTCCATTCGGAAACCTCGCACGGCAGCCCCCACGTGTCAGAATGGCTACAGAGGATATGTTTACACTACTCCTGAAAAATCACTCAAGTGGCCTTTTAATCCTTCACACACTCTGCTTTTAAATTGCTTGTCACACAACAGCAGATAGTTTCACATTCTCGGAGAGAATTCAGCCAATTTTAATATAGGTTGGGTTTCTTGTATGCAGTCAATGGTGACCATCAACTCACTGCACTTGAGAACCCAGCTTAATCACAGAGAGCTGCCAGATTCAAACCCAAGATTTTAGTAAGGGACAGCTGCCAGAGCCAAATAATTTTTTCCCATCAAATTGTGACCCCCCAATAGTGACAATTCATCAAAATGTGACGCGGGCGAATCACTGCGTGCCTAATCACCAGCCTGTGGTCATTTTACCAACCCCTATACGAACAATTACGCATAAAATAGCCTTGGCTAGGATGTGAATTCACAATTTCACATCCAGGAGCCTGGTTCTGCTACCTAAGGGAGGGTTGTGTGCCAACCATTTTTTGAATGCTGCATGCTATTAAAGACATGCGTTGTCCATATGCATGCTGTATTTGCGCTAAGTTAATGATGTATTTGCATTCAGTTCAGTTCACTGTATTTTGTTCATCAGAACATTGTATTTCGTCCAGAATTTTGAGAATTGGTTGAATTTAGACACGATGTAAATATAAATTATATTGTAAATAGGCCACCAATCACTCACTTATAGAGCCAAACAATGCAGTTGCAAGATCACAGGAAGATAAACGATGAAGAGATGTCAGGTATAGGGCTCCATGGTGTGCGTTGACATTTGGTTGCTGTCTATAATAAAATTCTAGATTAGAAGTTTTCGTGACTGCAAGAATCCATACTCTTTTGTTCTTTCGGTAAAGTCACATAGGTAAAAAATAAAATAAAAATACGAGATAAAAATAGAAAAAGTAAATTAAATCCCGACGTTTCGATTGCAACAACAAGCAACCATCATCAGGTGTGAAAATCACAGCTAGAAAATGTTTACTAAAGTGGGAGAAATGCCGGGGCTAAGGAGTTTATATAAGTGTGGACATCAGGGACTGGGACATGAGACTGTGCGGGGGGAAGGGGGAAAGTGGGCGGGGCTAGAAATTTTCTAGCTGTGATTTTCACACCTGATGATATTGCTTGTGTTGCAATCGAAACGTCGTGATTAAATTTACATAGATTTATTTATTAATTTTTTCGAAAGAACCAAAGAGTATGTCTTTAGTAAAACTCAAAAATTAGAATACTCTGTTGGGTGCATACACTCCTGCAACATAAATGGATAATCG